AAATGAGGTCTGTCATCGGATTCACACAAGTGGTGGAGTTGCTTCATCAACACGGTGCCCCTGAAGAGGTCTGTAGAATTATGAAAAAGAACATTTGACATTTTTTAAAGGAAAAATTACTCCTGAATTTGTATTTCAAACGGGTTAAACTGAATTGACGATAACATAAGGAAATTTTTAAGCTTTCAGCAACGGGTTTTACAATGGATCTTAATGTGGTTAGTGTGGGAAAAATAGTGTGAGAGGTTTTGTAAGAGTTTTGAAGTGCTCAAGTCTCGTATGGCGCATCGCCGAAATTTTTCAAGTTCTTCTTTCGAAATTCTTGTTAATCTTCTCCAATCTAAACCATCCTTATTCCTTTTCAGCTTATTATTTCCTATCTGATGTTTTTCTATCTTGGTAAACGATTATTTTGATACTTCCTTGTATTTGATGGCAATTTTGTATAATATCGGGAAAAATGACTAAACATCAGATTGACATGGTTGGACAATCGTTTGCTCGTCACGTCACTAATGCTATCACAATGTGTCTCCTTTGCAGGTGTTAAACACGTACTTAAAATTGATTGAAGACCAAAACCAGCGAGTTTCTTTGGCGACGAAAACGAAATGTCACAATTTAGCTATAGAGGTGAGGAAGCTTTTAAACTCTGGGTGACCGTTTTTCACAGGTATCTTCATTAAAAATGCGATGCCCTTCTTCTCCCATCTCGACCTTTTTTTGCTTTCTTTCTTTTTGCTACGTCGTTACGGATGTCACAGTTCGGAAACTTTTGGTTTGAATTTTTCATGTTCGTTTTTGTGGTCCGTGTCAGTTCTTATCTTCATCCTAATCTTACACCCATTCTCCCCTCATGTCGGTTTATTGTTACACTTTTTTGTCGTACTTCAGGACCTTGTCCTGGGTAGGAGAGCTGCCTCCTCTTCCCAGCCATCATTTATTAAGCACTGATCCATATGATAAAAGTTGTACTCATTAATCGTGACAAATTTATTCCTTCCGCTCAGTATTTGTCGACTTCTCCTGATAGGCGAGTCAAACATATCCAAAGCATTTGTATTAAAAAAAAGCTTGCTTGCATCCCGAGGTCACCCTACCTTGGCTCCGCGAGCTAACTTTCTGATTTTCATGGAAACAGTTTGCATCTATATATGAAGAAATGTATGAAACGTTCTGTCGCTTGAGGTGGCTGGGTATTTACAGGGTAACCTTCCTAACATGAACAACTGTTCGCCATATAAACAGACCCAAAGCCAACTATTGCAAGGTTTTCTCGATCTATTTAGTAAGAAAGGAATAACTATATTACCTACATAATGTGAAGGGTTTTCCCTTTGGTGACCATTTTGTAATTCTCATTACGTTCATTTCTGACCTTTATTAATGCTTCTGGAAGAAATTACACTTTGGTCACCGTAAGAAGTGAAGGGTCATGTGCAGTGGTTGTATTCCACAGACTTTAGCGGCGATGAAGGATCGACAACAACTT